ACGTGATCAGGACGTAATTTTATTGGCGGGTAAGTTTATCACGCGGCTGAGAACTTCTATAAATTCCTCCCTTTTAAAAGTCAACCAATCAAATGTCACGATTTTATATATAAACTTTTTTTACTAATAAACAATAAACCCCGGGTCCCCGGGTCGATTTTAAATTTCAATGTTACGTGAACCGAAAAATTGAATTTGTGTGGCCTTATCTTGTTGTTGTTTCTTTTATTTGTATCACTTCATTAAAAATACAGTGATTTTTTTCTTTAAAATCGTAAAATATGTGACTAAAATTTTAATATTTGAAAATAAAATTTCATTGGATAAGATAATTTTAATAAATATGTTGCAAAAAAATTTTTTTTAAAAAAAGTTTAGCCGATCAAAAATTAAGGTTAAAAAATCAGCTGTCAGCCGATCAATAAATTTACTCTATATATTGTATATCATGTGACATATTTAAAAAAAAGTCCCCAGGCGACAATCACCCAAGCGTTTAGCAATTCCCTTAAATTGTACTATTTTACTATTTTAACTTATAATAAACCGAAATCTGCCATTTCTCTATACTTAATTTACTCATTATAAATAGAAAACATCATTTGTTTATTCATTTTATTAATTTATTTGTTTTAACGAAGCTTATTTATAAAAGAGAGATCAACAATTTGCATATTTATAATCGCATATTTATAAATTGAAGTACAATAACTTTCACTTAAAAGATCTTTTAAAAGCATGCCAAGCTCTCCCATGAAAATGACCTCTTGTTTTAAACTTAAAATTTATTGCAAAAGATATTTTAAAAAAAATTTTTTTTGCAAACATATTTATTCAAAATAATCTTATTTAATGAAACTTTATTTGCAAATATTAAATTTAAGTCACACATTTTTGATTTTAAAGAAAAATATCACCATATTTATTTTTATTGAAGTGATACAAATAAAAGAAACAATAACAATAAATAAAAAAGATAAGTAAATTACAATGATCAAGGAGAAAGATGCTAATAAAAAAAATGAAATAACAATGGAGTAATGGAAAGTAATAGAAGATAAAAGAGAATAAAAAAGAGTAATGAGAAGTGATAGGAAACAAAAAGGAGAAATAGGACATGATGAGAGATGAAAAGGAGTGATGGGAGAGTGATTGGAGATAAAAAGGAGTGATAGGAGACGAAAAGAAGTGATGGGAAGATAAAGAAGAGTGATGGGAGATTAGAAGGAGTGATGAGAGATAAAAAGGAGAGGAGTGATGGAAGACGAAAAGAAGTGATGAGAGACGAAGAGGATGATGGGAGACGAAAAGAAGTGATTGGAGACGAAGAGGAGTGATGGGAGACGAAAAGAAATGAGTGGAGACAAAGAGGAGTGATGAGAGACGAAAAGGAGTGATGGGAGACGAAGAGGAGTTATGGGGACGAAGAGGAGTGATGGGAAGATGAAGAGGAGTAAAAATTTATTAAAATTGTAAAATTTAATAAAAAATTTTCAATAAATTTTTTATAAAAAAAAAAAAGATCTCTAATGAAATTCATTATTAAAAAAAAAATTTCAAGCCAAATTCTCGATACCCTTATTAAAAAAACTTTTTAACTTTTTTCAATAAAATTTTTTATTAAGATTTCTAAACAAAATTCTCCATCAAAAAAATAAAAAAATTTTTCAATAAACAATTCTCTAATGAAATTCTTAATCAAAAAAAAAACTCCTCTCCTATTAAAAAAAAAGTCTTTACCAAAATTTTCTATCAAAAAAAAATCTCCCTTGTTAAAAAAATTTACTAACGAAATGTTCTATCAAAAAAAAAAAGATTCTCAGCGAAATTATTTATTTTCCTATCAAAGAAAAATTCTTTAATAATCCTCTATCAAAAACAATCTCCCTATTAAAAAAAAATTTTCATCTATTAAAAAAAATTCCCAAAAGAAATTCTTTATCAAGGAAAACACTCTCCTA